TGGCTGAAGGTGCGTGTCTCACACACCTGCTGCCGTGGCTGAAGGTGTGCGTGTCTCACACACCTGCTGCCGTGGCTGAAGGTGCATGTCTCACACACCTGCTGCCGTGGCTGAAGGTGTGTGTCTCACACACCTTCAGCCACGACAGCAGGTGTGTTTCAGCTGTTGATGAAGCTGAAACAACCCGAGCCTTCAGTCGTTGTCCTCATGTAACGAAAACGTTGTGCACCACAAACTGTTCAACAGCAGGAGGGACGAGTTCTGTGAGAATACAGCGTGCAGCTGAAATCAGCTGAAGAAGCAGAGCATGAGCTCAAAGCAGAAGAACAGTAGCTAAAATTACTAGAGGTCTAAAAGTTAGAATAACAGGCTCAAGTTAAATCAGTTAAACAGCTAAACGAAGCAGAACTGCAGCTAAAAGCATCACAAGAAGATAAAAACAGCAGCTAAAGCAGATTTCAAAATAAAGTTTTGATTTACGTTAGAGGAGCTAAAGGGTCATTTAATCTGTTTAAGGTGGAATGAGGAAGTTTCAGAGTTCATCTTAACACAAATATACATTTTACTAATAATCTAAAATAATCCCAGCTGTCTTCTAAATGTATTGCATTAACCATTTTTAACCCTCCTGCTGCCCTTGGGTCAAATGAGCTCAGTTTGAAAAAACAGAGCCTCCAGGGTTAATTTGACCTCAGGGCAGCAGGAAAACATGAAGCTGCTGCTGTTCCTGCAGCAGAGGGCGACAGCGAGCAGCATTTTATTCTGAAGGTCTGCAGGAAGTGGACCTGATCCTGCTCAGACAGCTAGCTGTGTTTGTGTGGACAAAACCAGCCGCATCAACCGTTAAACTAAAGATCCAAACTGTCAGAACACGCCGACAGCTGTCAATCAAACCTGCTCATCCTAAACTCAGCCAGATCCTCCCGTCGCTCGCACACGATCATCGATGAGCTCAGCCACGTTTCTCCAAGCTCACTGACCCCAGAGCAGCCAGAAGACGAGACGTTACCGTGGCAACGCCTCAGACCGCCCGAGCGGGTCCTCAGGAACATCTAGATCCATCGAGAACTCCTCTAAGTCCTCTAAACTTTAGGGAAATGTTCTGATGGATCAGGAGTCCAACGAGCCGACCGGAGTCCTACCTGGGACAACACAGTCCTCAGAACCTCAGAGCGGGTCCAACCCGTCCAGCCTGCTGCTTTCCAGAACCTCCAGTGATCCTGCAGCTGCAGGAAGTCTGCTGACCCTCTGACATTAAATGCTTGAATTAGCAGCCGAACATTCGGCTGGTATAAAAACATGTTTGGCTACAACTATTGAAAAAACTAAAACGGAGTCATTATTAGTAAAACAAGCTGAACATGAGCTAAAACTGTAGCTAAAAGCTAAAACCGGTGAAACCATGGCCTGAGGAAACCAGCTGCATAAAAAGACAGAATCAGAACCAGCAGCTGAAGCAGATTTCAAAGAGAACTGAAGAGATCTTCCATCTTTCTTTGGGGAAAACATTTGTTAAATTTAATATTTTAAAAAGTATCAGTTAATAAACTTTTGCTGAGATCCCTGTGACATCACAAGGCTTGGCTCCGCCCACACCAAACGTTTGTGTTTGAGTCCTGTGTGGACCTGAATGTGACCGTTTGCCACCAGAACTCTTCAAAGACCCAATCCCTCCAATGAACATTAAGCCCCGCCCCCCTGCAGGTGTGCTGAGTCTTACCTGAGAGGGGGGCAGCTCTCCGACCCTCCTGCTGCCACTGAACGGGTGGGCTCCGGCGCCCGCCGCTGCCCTGCCGCCCGTCTGCAGGTTGATGGGGGACGTCTGAAGAGGCTCCGAGCTCGCCACCTTCTGCCCGTTGATGTGCGCGGTCACCATGGAAACGGGCGCCTTGGCCGGCACCACGGAGATGGCGATGCCCTGGCTGGGAGGCTTGATGAGCGACAGCGGCTTGGTCGTCCCCACGGGGCAGCTTCTGACGGCGAGTTTCTGTGGGCGGAGACAGAGAGGCGTGGAGCCAGTGTTCTGTAATAAACCTTTCTCTCAGGTCTGTTGGCTCGCAGGAAGATTAAAATCTCTTGTACCGAAAACGTTTTTTAGGATTCATTCACCCAGAGATGACGTAATTCATAAAACATGGAATCTAGAAAAACTCCAGTTTGTGTCAGAATTACCTCCTGTTCCTCCACGAGAATAAATGTTTGATCTTTCCAGCTCTGCCTCTTCGAGCTCCTCTGGAAACCGGAGAAATCACCGAACGACTCGCCTCAGAGTTCAAATCACTCTCAAGTATCAGAGGTTTGTCTTTTCCTGCGCTGCAATTAACCTTTGAACGCATCAGCAATCGCAAACATCACAAACCAAAGCAGCTGAGGAAATATTCCCACCTCAGAAACACCAACACGAGCCGAAGAAACACCAACACGAGCCGAAGAAACACCAACATGAGCTGAAGCATCCAGAATCCTGCATCTAACCGAGGCTCAGCCGGACTTTGAACGTTCAGTGAATCAGATTCTGGTCTCTGCGTTTATTGGCTCCTCAGAGGTGAGTCCTCCTCGACAAGTTCTTTTGTTTCAGGGGATCAATGTGATCCACAGGTGGGCCGAGCAGCGCCCGCACCAGGACCCGGGGGCCGCTGCTCGCCTTTCAGAGCCGGGGCCCCTCCGACTGTCTGAAAGGTCACTCATTTAAAGGCTCTCCAGGATGGGGAGCAGAGACCCGCCCCTCCTGGACAGATTCTGGGACAATGGACCAGCAGGTACTGAAAAGACACATTAAGGACGCACCTGAGGTCAGATTTATGGTCCGTGACGACGACTCTGACCCAAACTATCCTTTAAATGCTCATCGGTACCAAACCGGGAGGAAATCCTCAGAACCAGTTGCAGGAAGCGTTTGGTTCTGGTCCTAATTTGTCTCCAGCTCTAAGGGCCAGAACCAGAATGTAAGTGACTGCATCTGGGAGCAAACAGCTTAAATCAGTCGAGAGCAGACTCGGGTTCCAATAATCCAACATGGCTGCTTCTGTAAACCTGCTGGTTTCAGGTCCAAATAACCAGAAGAGGCGGGGTCAGCAGTCCTGTTAGTAAAATATCTCTATGGCTCCAACTGGCCTGGCAGCCAAACGGCGCTGCCACCCTTCAGGCCCGCCCCGTTAGCATGCTAGCAGCTCCTCCGGTGTAAATCCAAGCAGACGGAGGAGCAGAGAGCCTCCGAGTCTGAGGAACAGTTCTGGTTCTCTGCACCTCCTGAGAGCTGCAGCAGAGTTCTGGTTCGGCCCGGGTTCAACCCGCTAAGAGGGGACACGTTAACAGCATCTTAACGAGCAGCTTTCATCAGAGTGGCTCTCGTCTCACCCACTGACGGTGGAGGAAACGGGTTTCTGGTACCGTTCTGTGCAGTGGAGAACATCAAAGATCCAGAACACCAGCTGCTGAGCTTCAGAACCTCGTCAGTGGACGGTTCCTCCAGGCTTGATGAGGTTCTGATCCGTTGGCTCCTCATGTGAAGGTCCAGATTCAAGCAGAATTATTTACTTCAAAACAAAAACAAACATCTGATCAAAGTTCTGTGGAGTCACAACATTTAAACTCTTTAGGTCTAAAGTCTGATGGCAACTTTATTTATTTGTTTTTGTTGTTGTTTAGAAACAGTTATAAGTTGTTGTTTAGAAACAGTTATAAGTTGTTGTTGTTGTTGTTTAGAAACAGTTATAAGTTGTTGTTGTTGTTTTTGTTCTAGTTGTTTAGAAACAGTTATAAGTTGTTGTTGTTGTTTTTGTTCTAGTTGTTTAGAAACAGTTATAAGTTGTTGTTGTTTAGAAACAGTTATAAGTTGTTGTTGTTTTTGTTCTAGTTGTTTAGAAACAGTTATAAGTTGCTGTTGTTGTTTTTGTTCTAGTTGTTTAGAAACAGTTACAAGTTGTTGTTGTTGTTTTTGTTCTAGTTGTTTAGAAACAGTTATAAGTTGTTGTTGTTTAGAAACAGTTATAAGTTTATTTTGTTTAGAAACAGTTATAAGTTTATTTTGTTTAGAAACAGTTATAAGTTTATTTTGTTTAGAAACAGTTATAAGTTTATTTTGTCAACTTAACTTAAACAGTTAAGTTGTTGTTTTTAGTTTTGTTCTTGTTGTTTAGAAACAGTTA